AGCACCCAGGCATACTAAGGCCTATGATGTCCATCACACATAAAGGTCGTGGCTGCACTGACGCAAAGCACGAACCCCTTCTTTGTCCTGGATCTTGGCCTTCACATCGTCTACCGTGTCGTCACTGTCAACGTCCAATCCAATGGATTTGCCGGACAGCGTGACGACAATCCGCATTGCGCACACCTTGAGCAAAACAAACCGTTAAACTTTTAAGCCAAATCCGAATGAGCCAACATGGCTACGGCCCTTCCATGGCCTTCCCATGTGACTCCTTGCCACAGCTCGGCTGCCGCGCTTTGGCTTCAGCACGTTGAACTGGTGGGCCTTGGTGCTGAAGGGTGCCAATGCCTCGGTGCACAGTCGCGCGTGGCAACGAGTCGCATGAAAAGACGCCCCTGCTCTGCGCAACTAAACACCTACGACGCTGTCCTCGCTTCACTGGCAAGGGATCTCAATGTTTGGCAAGTTCAATCTTGGGCTCCGCACAGCCCCAAGCGCCTCATTGACATGTCACTACCGCGCGGAAGGCGCAAGCTCTCCACAACTACAAACTGAGTCGTGCCTGCTGGCACTCCAAGTCCAAAACCTCGGGAAACGGGAAAACTCCACAGAGAGCCAAGAGCGCTGAATTCTCTCAGCGCTCCGGCTAAGGCCCACACCACGGACATGCCCCGCTGCACCTTGATGCGGCCCTCGAACTGCAGGTCGTTGGCAAAGTCCAGCGCCCCGGCGATCAGCTGCTCGAACTCCTTGCCCCGGCTGCCTGAGCCAAGCGAGCTCCGCCTCCGCCACTCGTGGCATACTGAGATATCAAACTCTATTTAAAAGGCACGTATTCAGAAACACGGGAAGTTCAAAGGAGCGGCCACCTCTGTGCGATTTTAGCTCGTGGAGTAATTTCCGATGCAGGAAGCCGTCTCTAAGCCGCGGGCCATTGAAAAGCTTGGGGCCTTCAAGGCAACCCCGGTTGCTGAGGGCGTTGGGTGAGGGCCCGGACTTGAAAGAGAGAAAGCCGGGCCTGACAGCGTCACCAAGCTGATGATGCAGTGGATCTGGGCCAGAGCACCGCAGAAACAACACGTGTCCAGACTCACGCGCTGAGGCTCATGCCCAGGGCAACCGAAGATCTGGCAAGTCCGGCCTTGGACACATGATGACGCAATATGAAGCCATGGAAGTCAAGTCGAGCGACTGGTCCAAGCGGTGCTGCATCTCCTCTGCGATCTGATCCTGGCGCGCGGGTGTCACGTGTCACGTGTCACGGGCGTCCGACTCAAGCGAGGCCTTGGCTTCGAGCAGCCGCTCGATCAAGCCTCACGTTGGGATTTCCGGACGGGGTCTCACGCTGTTCAAACTGTGGCTGCCCAGCTCGAACTGTGGCTGCCGCCCAGCTCAATCATCAACTTCTGGTCTTCGCTGCGTTGAAGGAGGAACGCCAAAGCGTACACCCTGGCAAATGGGCCCGTCATCCGATTCCCTCCGATTCCCTCCGCTTCTCGGTTGGCGGTGCTTCGCATGTGCAACAAGGCCAGCGGTGCTTCGCATGGATGCAGGCGCCCTGATCGCCATAGAGGTCAGGACTCGGTTGGCGGACACTGCAAAGAGTACCGGACAGTTTGATCTTAGGCCTGACCACCGTTCAGACTCCCAGGCCACGGCTCCGACTGCAGGCCCGTCAGGAAGTACCACGCGGAGTGGCTGTTCAACAACTGGGCGAGAAGCGATCAGCTCGCATCGCTCCCGGGCAGTGGAAGCGCTGCTCGTGTCTCGGCACCGGACACAGGCATTGCCTTTGGGCCTTGAACGAAAGAGGATTCTGCTTCGGCTGGAATCAAGGAAAGGGTGGAAGGGCCCAATGCTGGGCGCTCCGACACATGTGCGGCTCGGGACAAAAGATGGATGAAGCACCTTCGGATGCCTGCTTCAATGCCTCAGCCACGTATTCGCCTTCACTTTGAAGCTTGTACGTTTTGGGACGCAGACGTCCCAAAGGCGGGATCTTCAGGTGCCTCCAGCCGCGCTCCTGAGACTTCGTGCAGGCAGTGGCAAGGAAAAGGATCGGCGCGCCTCCGCTGGTGCTTCTTCCGCTTCGTGCCGCTCAGCCGCCGCTGCCTGAAGCATGAGACATGCGGTGCGCTTGTCACCCTTGTGGACAAATCGCCGGTCATGGTTCAAGCTTACTGACCCTCGCTTCGACCTGCTTGGCCCTGTCCTCTGGGGAAGGGGGCTCATCTGTGCCCACATTTTCGGCTCATCTCCGCCCACACAGAAGTGACTCATCTGCGCCCACCTTTTCTGACTCATCTGCGCCCACAGATTCTTTTGCGAATACATAGAAGTTGACCCTTTGCCAAAAGGGGTCAGCGGAGGATCATCTGCGCCCACACGTTGGGCTCATCCCTGCCCACAGAGAGTTTTAGGGGTTTTTTGGGCGTAGGGTCATTAGGGTTTAGCATTTTAGGGTCTAGGGTTTTTAGGGCTTAGGATCTTCAGTGTTTAAGGATTTTAGGGTTTAGGCTTTTTAGGGTTCAGGGTTTTTTGGGTTTAGGGTTTTTAGGGTTAATTAAGGGTTTTTAGGGTTTAGGATCTTCAGTGTTTAGGGGTTTCAGGGTTTAGGATCTTTAGTGTTTAGGGTTTTAGGGTTTAGGATCTTCAGCGTTTAGGGTGTTGAGGGTTAAGGGTTCTTAGGGTTTAGGGTTTTTAGGGTTTAGGGTTTTTAGGGTTTAGGGGTTTCAGAGTTTAGGATCTTTAGCGTTTAGGGTTTTAGGGTTTAGGGTTTTTAGGGTTTAGGGTTTTTAGGGTTTAGGATCTTCAGTGTTTAGGGTTTTTAGGGTTAAGGGTTTTTAGGGTTTAGGGCTTTTAGGGTTTAGGATCTTCAGTGTTTCGGGTTTCAGGGTTTAGGATCTTTAGTGTTTAGGGTTTTAGGGTTTAGGGTTTTTAGGGTTTAGGGTTTTTAGGGTTTAGGATCTTTAGTGTTTAGGGTTTTAGGGTTTAGGATCTTTAGTGTTTAGGGTTTTAGGGTTTAGGGTTTTTAGGGTTTAGGATCTTCAGTGTTTCGGGTTTTTTAGGGTTTAGGATCTTTAGTGTTTCGGGTTTCAGGGTTTAGGATCTTTAGTGTTTCGGGTTTTAGGGTTTAGGGTTTTAGGGTTTAGGGGTTTCAGGGTTTAGGATCTTTAGTGTTTAGGGTTTTAGGGTTTAGGGTTTTTAGGGTTTAGGGTTTTTAGGGTTTAGGATCTTCAGTGTTTAAGGTTTTTAGGGTTTAGGTTGTTTAAGGGCTCATAGTAGACACCTATGGCAGTTTCTCATAATATTCTCTAAGAGCTGCAAAGCCCCAAAACACCTAAGATCATCTGCGCCCACACAATACTTGTGAGTACTGCATTTGTGAAGTTTAGAGCATAGGGGACTGCCATCAATCTGACTCATCTGCGCCCACCACGCGGGTAGAGACGAGTGGAGTCCAGCGGGTACAGGCGAGTCGCAAAACGCGGGTACAGACGAGGGGCCTACCCAAACATCTGGCTACTTGCTCTTCAAATCAATGGCACTATTCTCCACCAGAGTTGTCCTTCCGCCCAAGGCTCGGACCGAGCCCGGTGCCAGAAGGGTCGGAAAGGCCTTCCTAGGCGGCACCGCTCACGCGCCGAGATTCTCCAAAAAAGGCGACCCATCCCCTCCCTTCGCTGCGCTTGATGCTGATGATGCTGATGAGGATGATCAGGAGGAGGAGGAGGAGGAGGAGGAGGGGGGAGGATTGAGTGCCCCTCACACTAGGCACTCTCTTGGCCCGGCACTCCGAGATCCGCAGCACATCCGGCATGTGAGGTGGCAAGCAGGGCCTCGGGCCGAACCACGACCTGAACTGCCTAGAGGCATGGTTTCCCAAGGCAACCTGTGGCAACCAGGGGCTTCCCACGTGTGCTGTCAAACATCCGGAGCCTTGTCGGGCTCGATTGAAAGGATGAACCCCGACCGGGGGAACGCGAGCAAAACATGAATCAGTAGATGGCTTCCCTGTGAGTGTCTTTCTTCAGGGCCCGAGCGAGGTGCTGACAGAGCTCAGCAGAAAGCACACCGCCAATGCCTGAAGCACGCGGAGTGTCTCTATCTTTCTGGTTGGCTGTGAAATGCGGCGTCTCAATCTCAGGGAGTTGGAGTTGACATGCGGCCTCGAACGGCTCTGGAGATTGCCGCAGGATTCGCACAAGCCTGAGCGCGTGTCAGGCTCGTATCACGTCAGGCGCTCTTTTTGCATGAATGATCGACCATCTGCTGGAAGAACCACATGTCCGGCTTGGGCAGTGGCAATGGCAACAGGTCGACACAAACGAAAGAGTCGAAGTGGATGTCTTGCGCCTACCACGAAAGTAGGCTGAGACAGGACATTACTGTGCGCAGCATGGCAAAAGATCGTGGCCACACCTTTGCCAAGAAGGCTTCTTCCTTGGATTCATCTTTGACCTAGCGCAGGCATCCCTGTGCAATGGACGACGCGTGGCATAAAGGACGTTTCTGGGCCTGGACCGTGGCCAGTGCCGTGAGGAACGCGAGGCACCACCTGGGGCTTGGCACCCTTTTGCATCAGACAAGTTTACGGCTTTCTCAAGCAGGCCAGGCGGGCTGCATGCGGCCGCGGTTGTCCAACTTGGGGCCCATGATCGGCGGGGGCGCATCGTCCTCTCCGGACCATCCCAGTCGCGGACAAGGCCAAAAGGTCACGGCCTCATCGTTGTAGCCTTCGATCTTGTGCCTTCGGTGCCAAAGTGGCGACCCCAAAGGAGTTGCAGCTGAGGCCAGTGCTGGTCAGACTCGAGCCCCGCCTTAGCATGGCTCAGATTCCATGTTCGGGAGAGTTCAGGCAATTCAGGCACTTGACCGTCCGATCCGTGCACATCCAAGACTTGCACCACCGCTCTGAAGTGACTCACAAGGAACCCCAAACTGGACCAACCCAAACCAGCCACGAAGACTGAGGCATGTTGGCGCCACCTCTGCAACTAGATCAAATCCCAAGCAACAACTTGTCCCCCCCGAACACCAAACCAGGCGCCGGAGTTGAAACGTCCGACAAACAACGACACTGAACCGCCACGAGTACAAGCTGTGGGTCCGGCCACGGCCTGCTCCAGCAAGCGGGCCTCGATCGCATCCATCAAAAGGCATCGCTTGGGCTAACTCAAGAGGTCCCTGAGGTCCCTGAGGTCCACTCCAAAAAGTCGTGAGCTGAGTTTGTCCCTCGCTGAATCGGGTGAGGCAATGGCCACACGCAGGTGAATGTTCCGCGTGAGCATGGGCCCCTGCACCTGCGTGAGACTGACTAATCAACTAACAACCCGACATCCAGCCGAACTGAATCGCTGCCGCGCCCGCGTTCCCTCGGAGGCCAACTTGTAGAGCACGGGCATGTAGAGGGTGAACCTGAGCCATCGAGACTGCGAGGCCGAGGGGCTCGAGCTCCGAGGTGCCGGCTCAGCGTCAAGGAGTGGCACAGACATGTCCAGCATACGCCTGCGGTTCGCTTGCGGTTCGCTTGCGGTTCTCTTGCGCCTGCTCTTTTCCAAGGCTTGGGAAGTCAGACTCAAACAACGCCAGGTGGGCAGGATGAAGTCGTCCAGCTCCGGCAAAGCCTGGCCACTTGTCGGCTTCCGTGTCAGCTTCAGAGCTTCCCATTCCAGCTTGGCGACCAACGAATGTCGCGCAGTTTTGGCCCGCCTTGTAGTGCTTGCCCACGGTCCGGGTGAGCGCAACCACCATGCACTGCTTCACTGCAGCCTTGGCAGGCAGATAGAAACTGGCGATGGTCTCGCAGTCTCGAGGAAGCTCTTGCGAGCCCGATCTGCATGTGCCATTCCACCTTTCTGGTCGGGCCCGTCAGCCAAAAGGCTGCTTGAGAACTTCTCAATCGGAAGACCCCTAAAACTACGCGACCTGTTCATTGAACCTGGTCGCTGCGTGCAGTTTCCACGCGAAAGCCAAGAAAGGATTCAAAGGGACCAGACATGTGGCTGTTGCCGTCCGATCAAGCTCGAGCAATGCGAGCAGCAAGAAGTGGGACAAGCCCACACAAGAGAGTCAAGCTTTACAGCTCACTTACGTCGTTTCTGGCGGATGCACATCGCCTAATTTCAGTCTTTTGGATCACCCTTGGGCTTCACACGCTGAATTCGAGCAAGTCCCATCTCACGCTTCCACAAGAAGGTAGTCTTCTGAATTCGTCTGGGCCTGGCATCGAACACGTATCAAGCACGTTGCATACGCCTCTCTGGCCTCTCCCGCTCTCACGCCGCCTGGTAACGAGAAACTGCGACCCCCGCACCCACTGCCGCCAAGACGGGGGCAAGCCAAACGTAAACGTGGGCCTCGGAAGCTTCTGCAGGCCAAGCTGAAAGCAAAGCAATTGGCATCCGCGAAAAGAAGAAAACAAAAGGAAGGTCGACTGCTCATATCTCAAAATGGTACGCCCCTCAGGAGCGCTCTGGGGCTTCAATGAAGTTCAACACTCCGGGCTTGGACGGGTTGGAGGAAGCGTGCTCAGCCTGACAGGGCAAGGGCCCTTCCCCTCTGTCTTGAGTCTTGCTCAAGTCAGCCTCCTTTTGCAGTTTGCTCACCTCCTCCTCCATCAGCTTCTCCTCCTTTTCTCCGAACAACTCATGGAAAAAGCGAGTAGAAACATGCAGCAAAAGCAACAACAGCAGCAAAAGCAAAAGCCGGCCTGGGCCTGGTCCCGAAGCTCCTTGTTCAATCGCTTGCGCTTCTCCTCAGAGAGTCGGGCAGTTGCAGGCAACTCGACTCGACCCTCAACGCCTCCAGCTCACGGTGAAAGCGCGCGTGCTCGTCTTTGATCTTCTCCCGCGCCTTCGGAGTCACTCCATACGCGCTCTTTGTGGCGCAACATGAAACCTACCATCTGGAAGGCATGCGAGTTTTCACACATACTGATTTGGTCACTCCACCTCCAACTAGGCGCCTTCTTCCTCTCGGCCTGCTTGTCCGCCGACGCAAAGCGAAAGACGCTGCTAGTCGGCCAGTCGCCCTTGTCACCCGTGTCACCTGTGCCCATGCCTGAGTGGCCAAGTGGCAAGAGATGCACCTTACTCAGTCTGGGCACAGCACGCAAGAGTAGGTTGAGCCAAGCAGCACGCATGCAGTAGAGCAAGAGCTAGAAGAGAGCGCATGCTTTGCACACTCTGTACACTAGATGGCTTGCCGGATTGAGCAACCGTGAGCTGCGTGCAGCACATCTCTCTCTCATGAAAAGCCAACCGAATTGTTCAAAGCTAGGTCCCTCATATCATCCTGGCAGTCACTTGGACTCCTTGCTGCCGCATGAGAAACCTTCGGCACAAGCATGAATCCCGGCCCGGGGCGGCGGCCGCTTCTTGGTAGGAGGACAACGCCTAGCCACAAGGCAACTGAATCCGTGAGACAACCTGCACCCGGGAACTTCCACTGAAAATCTGCGGCGATACAGATTTGACGGGCCGATTTGCTGATTTGCTGCATGCTCCGACTTCCCACCAGCCTCCAACAGCTCGGCCAGCAGCTCGTGCTCACGTTGCGCAAGGATGCCACAAAGCCCCTGGCCGCTTTGGACCAGTCGGATGAGCAGATACGCCGCTTGCTTCAGAATCCAAACCTTCAAAGTGAAGATAGGTGCTTGTGTTCCCTCTCTTGCACAGTCCCTACCATTCGGGTGCATCTGGATTAAGCGAATCAAAGACATATACGCCCCTTGGAATCATCATAATCATCCGACTTGGTTCGAGTGGGTACGTCCCGCTTTTCTGGGGACCCGTCCTTGGGGCTGTCCATGAGCAGCGCCGTCTCCAGGCCCACAGCCAGGCGCTTCAGCCCCGTGTGGCTCAGCGCCCGCTCCCGCAGCAACGAAACGAAGATCTTGAGGAAGTTGATGGCCTACACGCGCGCCCGAAGCGGCATGGACCGGTACCATTGGGGAGGGAGCCCGGCTGAGGGATGAAAGAAGGGAAGAAGGAAAGAAGGAAGAAAAGAAGGAAAGAAAAGAAAACGGGAAGAAGGAAGAAGAACTCTGCGTGCCGCTGTGACCAAAATTTGATCGCTCCTGCTTGGGTTTCAGGCCAGTCTCCTCGCTGGGGCTGATCATGCAGCGGGTGAGCATAGCGCAGGCCAGCTCGGGGTACTCCCGGTACTCGGCCAGCAAGATGTCGCAGACCGTGGGGAAGCGGTGCAGCCCCGCGTACAAACACACCTCCCCGATCATGGTCTGCGTGTCCTCGTTGGGCCAGCTGATCAGGAAGGGCACCAGCTGCGCCAGGATCTGCAGATTCGGGCCGGTGTCCACATACTGCCTGAAGATGTCCTGTGTCCAGCAGTGCCAAAGGAACTTGGTGGTCACATGCACGAACATGTCGGACAGCACCAGCTTCATCTTCTTGTGCTGCTCGATGAGATCCAGGATGGTCCTCAGGAAGTTGTTCAAGGTGTACGTGGCAAAGGCGTCGTCCAGGGCCTCCACGACCTCTGCGCGGTGCGGGTCGGACTCCGCCGGCACCGCCTCCCCGTCCGCGAAGGTGCCGAAGGTGAGGAGCTCCACCGACGCGAAGTACAGGAACTCCAGCTGGCCCCGCTTCTCCTCCGCCTGAAAGAGGACATCCATTGAATCATTCAAAGAAAACTGATTTTTTAACGAGCAAAATATATAATACGTAGTCAAGCATCAACTACCCCCCTAAGTTGTCGGTCTCCTTTTTAGTTCAATCCCCTCACTTTTTCCCTATCCTTTGCGACCCCATAACACTCCTTGCAGGTCACAAGCTCTCATCTCAACCGCTTACTCGTCTTTTTCCGAGTCAACAACATGTCGAGTCGAGTCCTCGGAGAACTTCCGGGAGGAAGTGGTGGCCATGGGGTCTCCGAGACGCCCCGCCGCCGCCGGATGTTTGCCCCGCCGCTTCCGCTGGTACAAACTCGCGCTCTTCCCCAAACCTCTGGCCGCCGGAGATCCGGGGATCGCCAGCAGCCTCTTGTACGCCTCGAAGCCAGTTGTGTTTCGCAAGACAGAAAGAAACGGTAGAAACCAAACTCTTTCATGGTTTTCTTTCGTCTCACGTGCTTTCTGCAAACCCAAACCCGCCTCCGTCTGCTTCTTTGGAGCATTGGCGATGGCCTCGCTGTGCTCCATCAACGCGTCGTACTGCTCCGCCCTGGCCGCCTCCTCCTCTGTGATGAGGCAGTACATCTTCTCGATCTCTTCTTTGTCCTTGGCAAGCCGGGGCAATCGAAATTCCCGGATACTCCCGATATGTGCATTTCGAAGGGCTTAAGGTCACGTTCCGCAACATACAAGGCTTCTTCAGGTACGTGCTTCCCGTGGAGAACCCGCTTTAGACTGCCTATCTAAGGCTAAGGAGTTCCAAGTGTCCTTCTCCCCGTAGATGGTAGAGGCTGTCTGATGCATGCACCGCACCATGAGCTCCAGCTGCGGCCGGACGTACATGGCCTCACGAATCCGGTTCAGATCACAGCCCTCAGAGAGGTACAAGGTCATGGCCATGTAGAAAGGCAAATCCTGCTCCTGACCCACAAAACGCGCAGCGCGTTCTCATGGGTGTCTCTGGTAAAACGCAAGCTGGGATGGTCTCCAAGTTGCTGCGCGTGTGAGGGTGTGCGTGTGTAGCGTTTATGTGTCTTGTGTGTGCGTGTTTTTATGCGTTTGTGCTTGTTTCTTTGTTTGTTTGTGCGGTTGCGTGTTGGCGTTTGTGTGTGTGTGGTTGCGTGTGCGCTTTTGTGTGTGCGTGTGCGTGCGCGTGAGCGTGCGCGTGCACGTGCGCGCGCGTGTGCGCGTCTGCGTGTGCGTGCGCGTGTGCGTGCGCGTGCGCGTGTGCGTGCGCGTGTGCGTGTGCGTGCGCGTGTGAGTGTGCGTGTTATGTGGGTGTGTGTGTGTGTGTGTTGTGTGTGTGTTGTGTGTTGTGTGTGTTGTGTGTGTGTGTGTGTTGTGTGTGTTGTGTGCGTTGTGTGTGTTGCGTGTGTTGTGTGTGTTGTGTGTGTGTGCTGTGTGTTGTGTGTGTTGTGTGTTGTGTGTGTGTTGTGTGCGTTGTGTGTGTTGTGTGCGTTGTGTGTGTTGTGTGTGTTGTGTGTGTGTGCTGTGTGTTGTGCGTGTGTGTGTGTTGTGTGTTGTGTGTGTGTGTGTTGTGTGTGTTGTGTGTGTGTTGTGTGTGTTGTGTGTGTGTGTTGTGTGTGTTGCAACGGATTACACCTCCAATCTTAGACCAACAGATAACCGCCAATGAAGGACTGATATGAAGGGAAAGGAATGAATGAACGAAGAAAATGAATGGAGAGGATATGTGACATGCCATCTCTTCATCTTTTATCGTTTAATATTTTCCTTTCTTATTTGTATCTCTTGGAACCTTCGGGGTGTGTGTGTGTGTGTCTGTGTGTGTTTGTGCGTCTGGGCGATTGAGTTGTTCATGCGTGTGTGTGTGTTTGTGTCTTTGTGTGTCTGTGCCCATACCCATGTGCTTATGTGTTGGTAAGTATGTTTGTACTTGCTCGCCGGTGTTTGTGTTTGCGTGTGTGTGTTTGCGCGCTTGAGTGTTTGCGCGCTTGTGTGTATGCGCGCGGGCGTGCGGTGCGAGCGTTTTCCTGCGCGGTTGCCTGTGCATGTGTGTGTGTGTGTGTGTATGTGCGCGTGCGCGTGCATGCGCGCGTGCGCGTGCTCGTGTGCGCGCACGTGCGCGTGCGCCTGGGCGCGAGCGGGGGCGTGCGCGGGCGTGGGCATGCGCGTGCGTGCGTGTGCCCGTGCGCGCGTCTGCGCGTGTGCGCATGTGTGTGCGCGTGCGTGCGTGTGCGTGCGAAAGTACGTGCGCGGCTGCGCGCGCGCGTGCACGCGCGTGCGCGCATGTGCGGGTACGTGCATGCGCACGTGTGCGCGCCCGCGCGCGCGTGTATGCTGCGCGTGGGTGTGCGTGTGTGTGTGTGTGTGTGTGTGTGCATGTGTGTGTGTGTCCATCCCTGTTGCCAAGGGCTGATCTGAGTTCTTTGTCAGGCTCGCAAGCTGGGAGTCTTTGCAAATTGTCGAGGTGGCGCCGGCTATCCGGACTCTCCATTTCTTTTCCAAGTATGTGGAGTAGGCCACAGCCATCCTTGGGTCTAGTCTGTGGCCCTGACGAGTAGGGCCCAAGGATGACGAAACTCCACTCAATCAATTAAGTGCATGTGTGCCCACTGGGCTTGATCCTGACCCTCGCAGAAGAAATGAGACACAACAAGGACCGAGAGAGGGGGGATTTCACAAGTGTGATCCAGGCAGTAGTTCGTTTAACGGGCTGCCTGCGGTAGGATAGCCTACTGTGTTTGATTGAGCCTTGCCATCGGCTCGCACGCAGCATTGGTCATTCAGTTGACCCTCAGATGTCAGTTTTGACCCTTGAGGTCCCCAGGTTTGTTTGGAACTTGCCTTTGTTCCGCCAAGCTTTGGGAGTCTTCCCACTCAGTTGCCATTTATGGTTGGTGCTGTGAAGCACAACGGAGACTGCCAGCGATGTCTATCGCCTCAGAAACCAGCATGCCCATTGGGTCTGAGAGGCCGTAATCCCCCCGATGATTTTTTTTGCTGCTGTCTAGGCCGTCGTTGCAATTTGCCTGCAGCAAACCGTCGATTTTTCTGGCCCGCGGGTGATTCAAATACCCGGCCGGGGCCCCGGCGTTAGTGGAGCATCTCGGATCTGTTCGTTCTTTTTGTTGTTTTCTTGTTCTTTTTCTTTTTCCTCGCTTTGCGCAAGATCCCTTTGGCCCTTTTGCAACGATTCTCTTTGCAAGCCGCGGTGACTGCGGCGCGTCTGGCTCTGTACAGGCCACAGGGTTTGGAGCCTTTTCACGTCTTGTTCATTTTAGTTTGGCCCGCGGGCGTTTTACACACCCGGCTGGGGCCCAGCGGTGGGATTTGGGTTCTGCGCAGGCTGCAATGTCCATGGCGAAAGAAGTGCCGCGTGGCTGATTGTGTGTGTCCATCCCTGTTGCCAAGGGCTGATCTGAGTTCTTTGTCAGACTCGCAAGCTGGAAGTCTTTGCAAATTGTCGAGGTGGTGCCGGCTATCCGGACTTTGCATTTCTTTTCCAAGTATGTGGAGTAGGCCACAGCCATCCTTGGGTCTAGTCTGTGTGTGTGTGTGTGTGTGTGTGTGTGTGTGTGTGTGTGTGTGTGTGTGTGTGTGTGTGTGTGTGTGTGTGTGTGTGTGTGTGTGTGTGTGTGTGTGTGTGTGTGTGTGTGTGTGTGTGTGTGTGTGTGTGTGTGTGTGTGTGTGTGTGTGTGTGTGTGTGTGTGTGTGTGTGTGTGTGTGTGTGTGTGTGTGTGTGTGTGTGTGTGTGTGTGTGTGTGTGTGTGTGTGTGTGTGTGTGTGTGTGTGTGTGTGTGTGTGTGTGTGTGTGTGTGTGTGTGTGTGTGTGTGTGTGTGTGTGTGTGTGTGTGTGTGTGTGTGTGTGTGTGTGTGTGTGTGTGTGTGTGTGTGTGTGTGTGAGTGTGTGTGTGTGTGTGTGTGTGTGTGTGTGTGTGTGTGTGTGTGTGTGTGTGTGTGTGTGTGTGTGTGTGTGTGTGTGTGTGTGTGTGTGTGTGTGTGTGTGTGTGTGTGTGTGTGTGTGTGTGTGTGTGTGTGTGTGTGTGTGTGTGTGTGTGTGTGTGTGTGTGTGTGTGTGTGTGTGTGTGTGTGTGTGTGTGTGTGTGTGTGTGTGTGTGTGTGTGTGTGTGTGTGTGTGTGTGTGTGTGTGTGTGTGTGTGTGAAGCGTCCTGGAGCACGGACGGAAATTCCACATTGCAGGGGGACCAGGCGTCTTGCAGCTGACCTGGTCTAACAAAGCTAGGCAGCAAGACGGGATACCGGAATTGGCCATTCCGGTACCTGCCCATCCTTTCGTTCCTACTGTGTTTCCTCGGTTTACCACTGTTTGCTTCATGTTCGTTTCGATGATGTGACATTTGCACTGCAGATTGATTTTTTTGCTTTTTTTACAATCGCGTGTCTGCAAGAGCAGCCTCTCGAGATAAGTGTGTTTACCCACGGCCTGTCCGACATGGCGCTGTGGGCTGGACTCGCCACATGCGGGAGCCCCCTGCGAGGGGAAGACCGTTCATACGTTCAAATTCAACCTGCCGTTCAGCGCGTTTGACCACGATCAAGGCTGCAGCTTGAGGTCTTAAGGTATTCCGCACCCAAATGGTGCTCTGCTGGTTTCATGCGCGTTGCACTGCCTGCACTGCCTGCCTTTGAAGCAAGGCTGCACCCACGAGGTTTCAGGTTCCTAAGCTTCATGCGCCAGTGACGAGTTGGTCATACACCAACTCTGCAATTCGTGGTGTTTATGGAAGCTTTCGTCTCGGATGAGTTCAGTTCAGATTCATCGGCATAGCCACATGAGGCACTTTCATGAGGCCACTTGACAGGCACCTCTGAGAACCCCTTTGTGCTCGCATGCATTTGCACCATTGACGCATTTTTGCTCGCATGCATTTGCACCATTGACGCATTTTTGCCGCAGTTGTGGTTTTGTTTCACCCCTTTCCAACCTTCTCTCTCCCTTGCGAGATGGCTGGACACCAGCTCTATGACATGATGCATTCGCTCCTGCACAGCATTGCGACCGGCACCGCGTCCGGCTCACCAGGCAATTGTGGACCGAACTTGCAGCTGTCATCCCAGATGACGCAGCCCATGAACCTTGTACCGTCACCCAACTCGCAGACGGCATCCTTCACACCTTTCCCCATGATGCCCTACGGCGGCCTCTCGAACTTTGGCAACCCGATGGCCATGATGCCCTACGGTGGCCCTCCCAATTACGGCAACTTGGCACCTGGCACCATCATGCCTTTCATGACTCAGAGCAGCATGCCATCTTCACTGCCCGAGCCTCAGCCGGCGCGCGCGCCCGAAGCTGCCGCTGCGGCTCCTGCCGCTACCTCCTCAACCAACCACCCTCCCCCGGACACTCGGCACCATCCCCACTCTCGCAGATCCCGTTCCCGCCACAGACAGCACCGACACTCCCACTCCCACACCAGCCACCATCGCAGGCACAACAAGTCGCACCGACGACACGACACCCGACGATCCCGCAGCTACAGCAGGTCACGTTCCCTTTCCCGACACTTCCACCACTCCCGACGTGCACACCACTCCACTGTCTCCCTCCGCTCCCGCTCCCCCGACACAGGTCCCACCATCGACACTCCCCTGCACCCAGAGCCACGACTTCGCACCGACCCACTCACACTACTCATGATTCCACCTCCTGGCGCACTTCCGGGAAGGATTCCAACAAGTCTCAATGGTCCTCCTCACACTGGCGGAACCAATCGTGGGGATACCCACCACAGAACAAAAACCGCTGGGACATGCACCACCATGGCGCCAGCCACACCGGCCACCGAAACAACCAGGACAAACGATCGTCCTGGTCACTGCAGCACCATGGGCAGCAACCCCACCCCACTTCCCGCACCGGCCACCACAACACTAGCTTGCCCCCTCACCCAGCACCTGCGGCGGCCTTCACTTCCACTCCCCCTCCCCCTCCC